CCATTTATGCTTATTGTGGTCTGTTGGTGTTGTTGATGTTGGCTAGGAATCTTCATTATCTCTGTTTTATCTATGTTCACGTGAAGTCCTATCTTTGATGCTTCTTCTGCCAACTTGTTACTTTTCACTTGCATATCTTCCAGTTTATGGGAAATCAGACATATATCATCGGCGAAATCCAGATCCTCCAAGTCTTTTGTGTCAGTCCATTTTATGCCTGTTCCCTCGTTGGTTGCCGTTGTCTGTCGCATTATCCAATCAATTGCAATCAGGAAGATCATTGGTGATAGTAGACAGCCTTGCCTCACTCCCGTCCTCACTTCGAAGGCTTCCGTAAGTTTCCCGTTGTGGATTACTTGGCATGCAGCATTGTCGTATAACTGTTGGATGAGGTGTATAATTGTCGATGGGACCCCGTAGTAGCGAAGTAGTTTCCAAATGACCTCTCGATCGACGCTGTCGAAGGCCTTTTCAAAGTCGATGAAGTTGAGATAGAGAGGTGACTGCCATTCCAAGCTTTGTTCAATGATGATCCGTAGAGTGGCGATTTGATCAATACATGATTTGTTTCTCCTGAATCCAGCCTGTTCCGGACGAAGTTTTTCATCTAGGGCTTGTTTGATTCTCTCCAGGATGATGCGACTTAGTATCTTGCTTGGAATGGACAGAAGCATAATTCCACGCCAGTTTTTACATTGACTTAAGTCTCCTTTCTTTGGAAGTTTGAATAAGTAACTGTTCTTCCAATCCTCGGGTACTTTGCCCTCTTTCCACACCTTCTCCAGTAGTGGTGTCATCAAGTCCGCTGTTGTCTCTGGGTCTATTTTCAAAGCCTCTGCTGGGATTCCATCTGGTCCCGGTGTTTTCCCAGTTTTAAGCATCTTGATTGCATTCAGGACTTCTGATTTCGTCGGGGGGTCAGTGTTCACTGGTAGTTCTGCTTCCGTTGTTGGTATTGCTGGGCGTGTTGTAGGTGGCGGACGATTTAGAAGTCTTTTGAAGTGTTCAACCCAGTGCTTTCTCTGTTCCACCTCTTTGGTGATTGACTTTCCATTGTCGTCCTTTATTGGCTTAATCTGTGTCGAACGTTTGCCCGAAAGGTTCCTAGTTGTTTGGTAGAGTGTGGCGAGGTCTCCTTTGCCTGCAGCTTGTTCTGCTTCGTTTGCCATGGTTTCATAATATTTTCTTTTGTCTTCCCTGGCACTTTTCTTCACTCTTTTGTTCAGTGTATTGTAGCTTGCATTCAGCTCCTGTTTTTGTTGCTCGTCCGTGCACTGGATAATCTTTTGCTTCACTGTCCTTCTCTCTTCTATTAGTTTCCAAGTGTCCGTAGTGAGCCACTGTTTGTCCTGTCTCTTTTTTCTGCCTAGAATTTCTATGCAGGTTTGGCTCCACACCGTTTTCAAGTTGTTCCAGTGCTTTTCAACGCTTACCAGTTGCAACTACAAACTTCTTGACCGCACCGTTATCGTCACACAATTCGGAGTCAGACCTGGAGTTTACATTTAGCTTATCACTGAACTTGCTCACTGGTTCACAGTTCACTTCTGTATGCACTTCTTGCAAACGTGTGAAACACAACCGTGTTTGTCTTGCATCTTGCAACTTATCTGTTGAGCATGTACTACGAAACCTGTTGCACTCATTAGGTTTATATGCATTACTAGACATCATGGAGCTTTCTCGATAACCACCTCTCTGAGGCCCTTTCGTCATCAATGATTGCATTTTACCCTCAGACTGCTCTATTCTAGGGGTGAGATGTAATAGACTGGCAAACTTGCTCATAGATTGATTGACGCTATCTTTTACCAGTTTCAGGATATCATCAAACTTTGGCTCGATACCCTCATCCTCCATACGGGAGCTCATCTTCACCCACTTCCTTTGCAGTCGAGTAGGTAGACGTCTTGCTATTACTTCTAGTATAAAACTCGAGTTGAGGTCACTCGTGCGATTCATCGAAATCATTCCATTCTTGTAAATTAGCAAATTATCTAAAAACTCAGTGAGTGCCTGGGAGTCATCCTGTAATTGACCACCATTACCCTTAACAGCCTCGAATAATTTCCCTACAATCATCGAAGGCCTTCCAAACCTTTGACGTAGTATGCTCATAGCCTCGTAGTAGCCCTCTTTTGGCTTCATAAACTTACAGCACTGTATAGCTCTTGCAGCATCTCCAGTGCAATATCTCATCAAATACATTAACTTCAATTCATCATTTAATAAAAAACTACTCAGCATGATTTCAAATTCTCTTACAAACTGTAAATAATCAGCCGGGTTTCCGTCGAAACACCGTGGTCCAAATTTAGGGAGTTTGATGTTCCTATTATCCCTGAACGGCGAAACAGTAACATCAACCATGTCATGCTTAACATCAGACACATCGTTACAATTAACAGACAAGTCACCATGACTTGCTTTCCTGTTTGCATCCAAGACACTCTGTCCCTTCTTTGACCCAGGCATTGTTGAACTTGACCCAATTCCAAAAAAGTTCCAGATATCGCTTGTTCAAAGAGGACTTGACCGGCACCAGGAAAAATGAACGGCGACTATCCAAACTTTCACCAACTGTTTGAATCCGCCAGATCTGTTTCTATCGTCACAAACTGTCAATCACGTCTCATAAACCGTTAATGCCCAGCTCTCGCTACGCTCGGGCCCACGCTGTTCTTCGAAGATTTCTCAGAAACGCTTAGTTATAACGGACGCAAAAACCAAAACACCGATCTGCCGCTTTAGATTTGTTTATTGTTACACCAACATATAAAAGGAATAAGCGAACTAAGGTCTGTAAACAAATATTACAATAATAAATCATTGTATTACTTCTGACGATGTTTCACTCTTCTTTCTGAACAGCGACCGATGAGACGATGACTGTCGTATTGATACCTCCGCGAAAATTGGGGAAGTTGATTTTGAGCAAACAATCAAGAATTGATCGTTCAATCTTCAACTCCATTGACACTATTTGTTATTTAAAATAGAACACATTTCATAGTGACTGCATTAACAAGAAGACTCTGAAATAAATCACCCCTTACGTAAAAGTCGATCGACTTGGTGCACTTTGTGAAATCATAGAGGCTGAGAGATATGTGGGATAGGTGTGCGTCGGTGGCACAGTGGTTAGGACTCTCGCCGACCATGCACATGGTCCGGGGTTCAAGCCGACGCCGGCGCACACCTGATATCTATGGTCGGCCTGCAAAATTCGGGCTACCGATATCCATGCTGAAAATTCCATACTTGTACCAAAAATACAGTGTGGAATCAAGCTGTAAATAAAATAAAAAATAATAATGCTCCTACGTATCTTCAAACAACAATGTGTTTCTCTGTCTTAACCGATACCCAGAATGCGGAATATTTGACAGGGTCACAAAGAATATTTCCAACAGCCTGTTGCAGACCTTTATCAACTACAACTGTCTTCGCTCGATCTATAGTGAAGGTTAGATGGCCGGGCCGGAAAGAATCACCAACAAGAAACTATAGGAACAAACAAAAAAAGAACCAATCGCCAACCAACAAATATGCAGGAGAAAGCGGAGATGAATCGGACACTCGCTGAGGAGACTGCTGGTTGACATCGCGCTTGTGGAGCCCGAAAGGGAGCGGCGAGTGGGACGTCAGTGCAAGGGTGACATGGAGGAGATCGTGTGAAGAGGAGTCGAAAGAGTATGGACTAACATGGATGGAGGTGAAAAGCATAGCAGAAGACAAAAGCAAGTGGAGACGTGCAGTTGAAGCCCTGTTCCACTAGGAACCCAAGGGAACAATAATAGTAACAATAATTAGAGGCCATAGATGAGCGTCTGGGTACTGCACAGTGATGTGTCGAAAGAGGTGGATGCTCGACTTCGTTCATTTAGCCCGACCAGTTGACTTGATAGCACCCAATGTTGAATAATGAGTGCTCTAGCGTTTAAATTCTGGAGGATTTTTTGATGCCACAAAAGCTTGCTAGTAAAATTGAAAATTTTAACGAGTTATTCACTGTGGGAAAAGTCCGATTGTCTTGGCTAACCAACTTGAAATTGAACACAAATGCCTATATTCTCTATCTCTGTAGGTCTGTGCACTTAGACGCATCAGTTATCAGCGCCACCTTAAAATCTTTTTACGTGTGTTTTATAACGCTATCAGACGTCGGCAACGTGAAGCCGAAAAGTATTTGGCTCTGATGTCCACATTATTCAATTCTGGAAATGAAATACATATACAAGTGCTTTACTTTGAAGATGGAGAGCAGACTACTTTGAAATTTTTCATTCAGAAGAGAAATGGTGCCGTTTTCGGCTAGATAGTTAGTCTTTTGTTATACCTGCTGCTTGAAGTCGTATACCACTGCTATTCTCAGAAAGACTAATTTTATTATGAAACATCACAAACTGAAATACATACTTACAGACCCAATGAATAACTTAACCAGGTAACCAGAATGATTAGAAAGAATGACATCTTCAGTTGCTAAAGGGAAAAGTGTTAAAAGCATTGACTCTAACCATAATTTGAGAACAAGAGTTGTTTCTAGACGCAATTGTAACATATTTAAGTGAATTCAAAGTAGATATGAAATCCATATATGTAGTCTCTAAATAAATACAGTATTGCGTAACATAAATAGGAACAGCATACTTTGAAAGGATCCCTAACAATGAAAGGCATGAGGCTGCACAAAGCAATGTACTTCAAGCGAAACGTTAAAGATTCTGTATGTCACAAAGCGTCTAGTTAAACAATCATTAAATGGTTTTTATGGAAAAAACAACAGAAGAATCAGCAATTCTGACCATTTCAAAGTGGTCACTGCCTTCCCATGATAGTAATTAGACTCAGACCAACAGTTGTTTGTTTGCATCAATATTTTTCCCCTGCGAAAAATCCTTGCTCTTATTTCAATTTACTATTTCAATTTCGTGGGCTTAATTGCTCATTGACAGAAATTGCAGGTATTATTACATGGTACATTTCACTGGAATCTGATGAATGGATTTACTTCTCCTCCAAAATGGTACTTGAATTCTTATACAGATACATCCAACACAACTGAGATAAAACGGATTATATTTTTAATAAATGGGAATAATAATTTTCCTGGAAAATTGATTCTTATTGATACAAAAAGATATAGTGACTTACAGCAGCTCATAGATTTTTTAAATTCCAAACTCTCACAATTTGTTCGTAGGGGTCATAAGATTCAGAAGATTTTTACACCACGAGGTCGAAACCGCGTGTATACCACATCAGAACTTATAAGTGGGGAGTTTTACGTATGTGCTGGAAGTGAGCCTTTTCAGAAAATAGATTATCTCAACAAAAGCCGAAAAAAATATATCAAGGAAGGTTAGTACTCTTTTATTCCCACTTTGTAAATTTATGGCTTTTCTACTGCTGTAGTATATATTAATTGACGTTAGTATTCCGATCTGAAAACGACGACAGTATTCCATACGCATGTGTGTTCACTGCACAAAATGCATTGAATGTAAGGTGACTACTCATACACGAATTACAGAACGCTATATCACTGGCTTAAAATCGTTATCCCTGAAGCCAAAATCTGCCACAATAGATATTCTACTGGCTTTTTTCCAAATCTGATAGAATAGAATAACAAATAATATTGCTTCCAGTGTGAACCACATATTTCTACATAATTATATAGTGACTGTTACTATTTTTTGATACATTTCCAATTTGTACAGATTCTTGATTGGATAGCGAGGGTTTTCAGATTGAGATCCTAATGATAAAGATAGTTGGCTCTCGTGGCCTGTGTTAATTCTTGAAAAATATATATCTGTGCAGAGGTCTAACTTCTCTTTGGAAGCGTTCATCGACGGAGCTGATACTAGTAAATCAGGTAAGGAGTTCCAGTTGTTGACCATTCTGTGACAGAATCTAAATTCTGCACGTATTTTAATCTTCCTCGGTTTGAGCACCCAGAAGTGGAGAAAAAGTTAAAAAGGTCAGTTCCTAAATCAACCTTAAGTGTACTGTATGCCAAAATTAAGTCGTCTCTCCTGCTAAGGTATGGTAACGGGAAGAAATTAAAATGCTCCATCCTTTTGACATGAGGAAATTGTAATATACCACTAACTAATTTGGTTCCTACCTTTTGTACTAATTCTAAGATATGTCCCTCCTTCTCGAAATATGAACTAGCCTTGAATATGTTGCGTAGAGTACTTTGAACATAAACTCATCTAATTGTTTGGAAGCTCTTCGGAGTGCCCATAGCATTCGAAAAGCCTTAGCTGTGGCTGCATTGCAATTCGCAGTTGTTTTCAAATGATTGCTGACAATGATCCCTGGGTCCTTCTGTCCGTTAACATCAGGTAGTTTTGTGTCCCCTAGGGAGTACAATATATAAGACTTCTGACCTAAGTACATTACCGCGCTTTTCCTGGGGTTAATTTCCGAAATCCACAGGTTCGATCACTCAGCTAATTTATCTAGATCACTTTGTAGGGCCGACCTACCATAAATATTATTTACAGTTTTCCAGATCTTAATGTCGTCCACAAATAATGATGAAGATGAAGTAAGAATCCCCGGCAGTTTATTAACGTATAATAGGAATAGCAAGGGGCCTAATACAGCTCCCTGATCCACTCCGCTGGATACTGCTTTCCACCATAATAGTACATCGTTAACTCTTACCTTCTACCTTCTATCAACTAGGTTGTCCCTAAACCACTCACATAAGCACTTTCTACTAAGTATCTGTGCTTAGTCCATTTTTAAATAACTAGATTGAGGGTACAGACTTCACGTTTATTAGGACTATTTCAAAGAGTTAATGACTGGGTGAGAGAAGCATCACTGTCCAATAATATAACTGGTCCTTGTTCTTTCAGCTCTCTTATTATGTGCCTTAAGGTGTTCCAGTATTTTTGGGAAAGAGGAGGAGGTAACTCATGTTTGTACCTATTCCTAAAATTTGGTCAAGGAGACTTAGAATAAGTAGATTTAGTCTTTCGACAAGTAAGTGTATCCATTATTTCATCGAGAATTCTTGGATACGGCTCATCAATTCCCACTAATTTCCATGAATCTAATATAACGGTAGAATTGATGCACTATGATAGAATATAATTTTATTCTAAATGAGTCTATGTGACATAACATACACGGATACAGTATTCTTTACTGATTATTTTTGTCAGCTAATTTGTTTGGTCATAAACAGTGATATGATAATACTACACCGTTGTGAGTTATATCACACAAACTTATTTAATATGGAATTCCATGAATCTGACTTGACTGTAATTTTGATTACGACATTTAGCTGGATAATAATAGAACGTATATTGCTTTCTGGCAGGAGGACTGCAGCTAGAGTTAAAGTGGCGCTGATCTCTGTCTAAAGATGACAGTGAAACAATCTTAATTTACTGCAGCCCTGTCCTGGTTTTACTTAACAGGATCTTTATTAATAATCCTGTTGGAGGTTCTATGATGCTTCTTGTTTCAGAATTTTACAGTTTCTTAGGGAGTTTCACTGCACTTTGAGCTTTGTTTATATAGAATTCTCTTCGTTGTTGGTGAAATGCTGTGGTACATACGTTTCTAGCCGTAATGTGATAAGACTGTCGAGATAATGGCATTCATGTTGACTTTCCACGGGTTTCGTCTCCGTTGAATTCTGTCTCGGGATACTGCAGTAGTGAATTTAAAAAAAGGAGAAGCTTGATATGTTTTTTCTTATGGATGTAGGATGTCACCGTGAGAGGTTTCAATTTGATGAAGATTGTTTAAAATCATGCTGGGATAGGGATGAGAATATTTTTCATGCTTGTGATAGAAGGCACTATCTCCCAATATAGTAAATGATTTTTCCCAACCAGCTGTAGGGCCATAGAAAACACGGACTATTAAATAACGACATCTTGATGTCTACATGGCAAATTCCTCCTAAGGGGAGTCATCTGTGGTACAGTCAGGACCGCAATATATTAATAGTAGATTGTTGTGTTGCCTCTTGCATTTCAGCCAGCATTGAATGGTTTCACGTGATTTATAATTGTGTGCAGTTGTTCCTGTGTGTCACAATTAAAATTCATTTTCGAGGTAGATTAGAACAAAGCTAATTAATTAATTAATTAATCTGTGTACCATTTTAAGGTGAAGTTTTGTGGACTAGTTTTAGCGTCTCCGTTCTCTGGTTCTATTCAAAATTCTGTGATGAGAATAATAGCCGGTTCCCCTCAGTCATCCAGAATGCCAATCCTGGCCCATTTGTTCAGTAGATTAAGGCTATCTGGGTTTCCCCTGGTGCCTCTTAGATTCAATCACAGAGGTTTATGGTTCACGAGGTTTGGAATTTTTATTGGTCAAAAACAATTACAGGGTTTTTTTCGCTACTAATGGTGCACTTTAACTTCTACAGTCTTTTGATACAGTCTTCTAGGCATAAGTGCACGCAGACAGAGATTCGTAATCCCCTAAGGATATGATAACCGCTCAGATTTGCGTCTCTCCTGATCTTAGAACTTGCTGTAACTTTAAGAAGGGTTGCAGGATGTTTAATTCCGGAGTGATTCCTATAACCTATGCTCTACTGACTAAGAATGGTGACATCTGCCACTGTGGCTGGAGTCATGTTTGAACGTGGCCTTCAGTTCTGTTTTGTTTGACTCTTTCTTTTTATGAAAGACGATCAACCATTCCGTGAGATCAGGTTTTCTGGAGTTAGCATTTTTACTTCTGATGGTTGGTTATTTTTCTTGCCCAAGGGACTACTACTACTGTTATTTTATTTCTCCCACCGCTCCTCCACTTTTCTCCGCTTGGTTTTGGTGGTGTGTGCAGTTCTTTCTTTTTAACTACCACAGTGATGGTTTCCACACTAATGGTGGTTCATGCAGGAACCTCTACAGTGTATCGGTGACCTTCAGTGGGCTACTTCCCAAATAGGAATTAGGCATGTCACAACCGAGGTTTACCAGCAAATTTCGGTTCAGGATATTTCCTAACCTTGCAATGTCACTAAAGGAATCAGTGGTCCTGCTTCCCTTTCAAAGTAGTACTTATTTCTTCAGGAAGTCTTAGTGATATATTAGGCATCGCTATTGTTTCCAGCATTGGGTGCTACTCCTCGCTACAATATTCTTTGCATAACAAATGTAAAAGAGGCTTGTAGTAGTGTTTGTGTGTCGTAGGTCACAGGCTATTATTTACTTAGTGAAATCGACCCCTGCAAATGTAACGTAGGAATAGTACACTGGCCTTCCATAACAGTTTCACTTGTCAATTACTTAACCAAGAAAATAGACAAGGGTTAATGAGAAAAACTACAAAAGATGTTGGCCGATCGATGCTAACAATAAAAGTAGAATAGTCGAAATATTGAAATAATGTCATTCTGAAAAAGTAATGAGGAACCTGAAAAAAACAATTCATGTCAGAGTTTACCGATCGGGGCTTTTGTAGAGAATAACACAAAAGAAAGTTAGAATTAGATTAGAGAGAGTATAGAAATTTACATCCCTTTCAAGACAGCTCCTTTTATGAGTAGTAAAATATGCTCCACTGTTCATAACTTACTCTGTGTGAGTTTTAATGTTTATTTATACTGTAGTGACATATAATACCAGTAAATGAAAATGTGTGTGTGTATATTAGTAATTTCGTAGATGCTTTTTTTTCACTTCCGTAACAGGAACATGATTAAATGCCTGTAACCCTGAAAGGTTTAGTTAACTTTTAAGGAAAGACTATCCCGTATATTTTAAAATGTTAGTACTTCAAAGTTGGTTAATTATCTATCTATACTAAAGCTACACTTTTTAAACTCAGGCAATTTCGAAATATATGTTCTCAGAAATTAAGCATCTATGAGGTTTACATAAATTTGATCGTATAAAAACTAGCAGTTTAATTGATATTTACCATATGCTTTCCGTCGAAATTTTACCCTAATATTAAGCATATATCATTACTTTGACAACTTAGGATAAATTTTTGACTATAAATAGATGGAAGGTTGAACCTTTAAATCAAAAGTCCCAGTAAACTTTGTTGTTGTTCATTTTATCCATATAAGTAAAGGTAATGAACATTTACTATGTGGCTGGTTATTTTCTGAGTTATACAGTAATGTAGACGTATAAAAAGCTAAAGTTAACAGTGCATTGGACTTTGATTGGACACTACTTGGTAACTAGTGTGATGTGTCCATTCCCTTCTTTGGTGCTGACTGAATTCTATCAGTCAGGTTTGCAATGTGGCCACCATAGAACTGTAAATACAAGGTCACATGATTTGTTAAAACAACGAAGTAAACGCAATATATTATAAAGTCAATGGTGGTATATATTTTTGAAAGGTGACTGTTT